AATCACGTGTCTATCTCAGACATCGTGTATATAGACCTTTTCCTTTTGTCTATTTCTACTTTAATATGTTAAGCCACTTTTACCACACTCCGTATGCCCATTGCTGCGTGCCATAACTCGTGACAGTTATGAGCCCAGCTCTTAGTTAAGACCCCATACCACGATAACGCACTCATCAACACGATTCCTACAATCTCTTCGAGATGACAGACACACTCGCACCCACTTTAGCCCAAGCCAAATTGACTGGCCGAGACAGTTGGACCAAATGGTTCAACGCACTTCGTGCTATGAGTGAGGGCGTCGGGGTCTGGAAGTACGTCGACCCAGACGCTCCAGATTCCGACGCACTCCTCGACCCTTCCACGGCGCTCACTTCACCCTCTGAATTCGGACGATTAGTCGCGACCCGTAATGAGGAAGAACTACGAGCCTACCAGACACGCTGTGAGGCGTTCGAGAACGACCGAAGAAACTGGGAAATCCTACGCCAGGAGCTTCCAGACACAACTCCCAGCATGACCCCTTCGACTTCCTCGAGCACAAGCAACCCACAGGACCAAGCTGGGTTTCCTTTTACAAAGCCAGCTATGCCACCTACTTCACGCGGACAAATCTATCCCTATACCGCACCCGTGAAGAGGATCCACACGCTCGAGAGTATTCAGAAACAATGGGAGATCGAAGCCAAATACGAACAATTCAAGGCTCAGGAACGCAATACCGTCAACACGCACATCAAACTCCTCGCCCAGTGGTTGGTAAAATCAGTCAACGCCACTCTCTACGAACACGCATTCCAGAAAGCTACCGAGGACGGCGCCAAGTTCAGCATACAACGAATCGTCAGACATCTGAAGCAGGAACTTGCGCCCTCCGAAGCAGTGGTCAGGAATGCGGTTCGAGAGGAATACCGACAAGCCCTCAACAAAGCGAGGACCGGAATTAACCCCCAACGCTGGTATGAGGAGTGGCAGTCTGCTTACCTCCGAGCCAAAACGTACGATATTCCGGAAATTAGCGGAGAGATCGCCGTACTCGACTTCCTGGTTGCGGTTAAGTCCAGACTCAACCCTACATGGGGCCAACGCACATATGAGACCTTCAGCGAATCAATGGCCTTCGGAACGCGCACCAGGACCCTCGAGGAGATTGCGTATGCATTTAGCCTGGTAACCCAGGACGCACACACCAAACGGCCTTCAGGTCAAGGAGGGGCTTACTCCACTTTCGCTGGACGCTCTGACTCAGTTGACGACGCAAATGACAAGGGTGACGTTACGTGCCCTTGTAATCGCGCACACCCGTGGCGCCCTTCGGCGTGCCGAAAGTTGGAATGGGCACTTACAAGCCGAAACGCCAGTGGGTCACCAATGCGAATGTCAAAGAGCCATGTGGAGGAAGTCCTCGCCGCTGTCAAATCAAGCAAGTGGAAATCACTCCACGGTGAGCTCAAGAAAGCTGGTTGGCTGAGGAACGATGGAACCCCCAAGAAACCTGGGTTTCCGAAAGGATCCTCCAACCAACCCACAGCGAGCTCATCAGCAGACCAGGACGAGGGCCACGTAGTCGCTGTACTCATGAAGAGTCAGGACTCAGAGGTAAACGCAATCTTCAGCACCCCTATGGGTGGCGCTCATCCCCTCTCCCAGAGCACAGTAATGGACAGCTGTGGAGCAATGCATCTGGTCAACGACAAGAGCCTACTTGAACCCGAGAGTTGCGTGCTATCGGGCGATGACGACTACGTTGAATCAGGAACTACCACACTGCCTGTTACTGCACGCGGCACTCGTATCATGAAGGGCGTTTTAGACGGACCTAAGGGGAAGGGAACTTGCGATCTGAAGCTCCAGAACGTCGCTTACGTCGAGGGATTCCATGTCAACATAGTCTCAGAGACTCTGCTGAACAGAAGCGCACTCTGGTACTGCGGTCTGGATTGCACTTTGCGACAGGGAACGCTTCATAAGAGCACTGTCAAAAAGCAGCTCATCCGAAAGAACAATCTAGTCTTCCTCGAATACAAGCTCCTCCAATCCTATCCTTCTTCCGCAAACCTCAAGCGTGTCTTGCAGAGCCCAGCTGGTATTATGCTACCAGTCAGCCGTGGAAAATTCCGTCGCTCGTATCAACGCACCCGTGAGAGGTCTGACAGCGCGCTCCTCTGGCACCTCAGAACAGGTCATCTCGGACCTAATGCTCTTCGTCGATTACTGTACAAGACTCGAGGTGTGCGCATTAAACCTCCATCACAAGTTGAGTGTGAAGCATGTGCATTATCCGATGCCAAGACAGTAGTCTCAAGAGGACCACCCTCGAGAAGAGCCTCACGGCCATGGTACCGTGTGCACTGGGATCTCTTCCACTTCGAACCATCTCTTAGTGGACGACAATACATGCTCATAGCTTCCGACGAATACAGTGGGCAGCTCAGGGGGTTCCCTTTGAGGACCAAAACAGAGGAGGAAGTGCTTTTCGCACTGCAGAGCCTCGAGGCAGCGATTCGTCGTCAAAAAGGGACTCCAATATGCTTCTTCAGAAGTGACAATGAGACCGCCCTCCTAACCGCAAACGTCAGACGCGCATATGAGACGTGGTGTGGCGAGCTGGGAATCGGAATAGAACTTCCACCTCCACATACGAAGGAACCCGTGGGCAACGCAGAAAGAGCAGGTCAACTCGCAATCGCCAAAGCTCGTAAGATGCGCCTTTCTGCGAACCTCCCTACGAATCTATGGGACGAAACAGTATTGGCAGCAATCTTTATCCATAATATTACCCCACGAGAGGCCAATGAAGGAGATTCGCCCATCACAATGGAAATCAACTGGCAGAAGCGGTATCAACGCTGGTGGCAGACGGGTCACCGAGTGCGGGATTCTGAACCGGTAACCCCGCACCTCGGTGGTCTCTATGCATATGGCTGCCGAGCATACCCTCTTCACAGGGATCGTGAGAGGGGCATACGTCGGAAGGAGTTTAAAGTGCTTCCCCGCGGGCATATAGGATACCTGGTTGGATATGTGCCAGAAACGCACAACCTATACAGGGTCTGGGTGCCCGCGCTCGAGCAGGTGTTTGTTACGAGGAATGTTAGGTTCAACGAAGAAGTCTTTTATGATCCCGCACACGAGGAGCAAGCTATCGTGGGCGAGCAAGCAAATCTGGTAATCCAAGAGATGCAAGAACTCTTCAACGCCAACGATGAGTTAGTTCGAGCACTCGGGGAAGTGGATCTGGACTTCGGAAATGCCAGCACTCAAGACAACTCTGTGGTCGAGGATAGTATTACTGTTGGATTTTCAACTGTTCAGGACGCTGAGCAACCGACAGACGTACTCCAGGGTGCGGTTAATGAGGCTGACGAGGCTGACATAGTCTTGCCGTCACTACCAACCCCTGAGATGACCCCCTTGCGCGAGCTCGGGGGTGGGGGTGAGGAAGGGGATGCAGCAACCGGGTCACAGACGGCTCTGCGCAGTCCACAGTCCTCCCCACGAGCGCTTACACATACCGCGGAGGTTCTCGAGCCTTTAATTCCTGACGGCTCTCAGCAGAACGCTGGAGCACGCGGCAGACGAGGTGCCGATCGCGAGGAAGCAATTCCTGACGCTGAAGTCGACGTCAGCAGGGAACCCTCACAACAAACCTCTACTACTACACAAGAACAGAGCTCACAAGAACCGCCTCATCGAGTGCCAAGTGAAGCTCCGTCAGGTCCCAGACGTTCAAACCGGGCCCGCAGACCTCCACAACGCTTCGACGGCAGCATCTTCGCGACGCTCTTACATTCGAACACAGAAGACGGCGATTACCACAACCGCCGCTGGGACTGCTTTTTCTCTACCTTCATGCCTGATCAGCAGAAAGCCATAGAGGAAAGTAGTGCAGGACATACAACACTCCATCAAGTGGTAAAAGGAGCAGTTCACAGGACCTACCTGGAGCGCTCCGGAGGAGTTCAGAAACCACGACTCACTAAAGTTGACTTCCAGAGCCCACCAAAGAAGTTCAGCGATATCAAACATCTCCCACAGCAACTACAGAAGCTGCTCAGGGATGCCATGGACGCAGAAATGAAAAAGCTGAGGGATATTGGCACATGGGAGGAAGTCGACCGTGATCCCAAACAAGGGATCCCACTTCCATTGAAGTGGGTGTACACTTACAAGCACGACGCTGATAACGAGGTCTGCGAGGTAAAAGCACGTATATGTGTGAGGGGGGATATGCAACCACTTGACCCCTTACAAAATACGTACGCCTCAACGCTCGCCGCAAAGGCCTTCAGGCTTGTGATGGCAATAGCTGCCCAATTCGACCTTGAGGCAGACCAGTATGATGCCATTAACGCATTCCTCAACGCGCCTCTCAAGAGCGAGAAACCAGTGATTGTTGAACTCCCAGAGGGATACAAGGTCACTGGCAAAGTAGGCAAACTCCAACGCGCTCTGTATGGCCTCCGAGACTCGCCAATTCTCTGGTTCCAAACTTTTACCTCCATACTTCGTAGTATGAACATGATATATAGCTACGAGGAGATCTGTATCTACCAAACCGCAGACAGGAAGGTGATGCTGGTGTTCTACGTTGACGACTTCATTGTTCTGTACCATCGAGACGACCGAGAGACGGCTCAGGGGATCGTCGACGGCATAAAAGAATACATCAACCTCAAGGAGAATGGACCGATCAATTACTTCCTCGGAGTGCGGATTCTACGAGACCGTACTGCTCGCAAGGTTTACCTTGTCCACGACGCATACATCGAGCGAGTTGCTAAGCGCTTCGACCTCATGGATTCACTACATCCAGCTACCCCTCTTCCTCAGGACGAGTTCAAACCAAACGAGGGGCAGGCAACAAAGGAGGAAATAAAGAGCTACCAAGAGAAGGTCGGAAGTGTGCTTTATACAGCCATAATGATCAGACCGGACGTCGCTTTTGCTTGCTCGCAATTATCACGGTTCCTGACCAACCCAAGCGCAACCCACATCAAAGCAATCAACCACTGTATCCGATATCTCTACGCAACAAGATATCTTGCGCTCTGCTACGGCAGTGTACCGAGTGCGCAATCATTGCTTCTAGCTGGAGATGCCAGCTTCGCAGATGACGAGGTAACACGACGATCATCTCAGGGATACATAATGTTCCTTTTTGGCGGCCCAAATTCAATGGAAATCAGCACGCCAGGCGACAGTTACGACGTCAACTACCGAAGCTGAGCTTCTTTGCCTCGAGGAAACCGCAAAAGAGACCATGGCTCTGAAGCGCCTTTTTAAGGACATTGCCCTTGACCTAGGAGAAGTATGGTCAGTCAACTGCGATAATCAGCAGACGATTCGACTCGTCGTGGGGGAAGGGGAAAGAATAGCTACTCGACTTCGCCATATCGATATACAGAACATGTGGCTGAGACAAGAGCATGCCAGAGGCAGCTTCGAGGTTGCTTATATGTCAACAGAAGACATGCCAGCAGATGGACTTACCAAAAACCTTTCACGAGCTAAGTTCGAACATTTCCGCACACTTCTCAACCTCTACGATGCGCGAGAAGTCATCATGAACAGCCAAAATAGTCAGAAATGATCAATTTGGGCCACGCCCAGAAAAACACAATGCCCGAAGGCAGACGACAGACGGAACCCAGAGTGCGGCCCGGAGGCCCAAAACAAACAAAACAAAACTTTTCCTGGCCCGAAGGCCCAAACTCCCAAAACAACCTTGCCCCGCAGGGCACACGCACACAGAAACAAGACCCGGGCTTGCGCCCACTATTTGAACTCCTGGTCCACGAAGTACGCGATCGCCGGGATCATGGCGTCGCTGGCGAGGAGGGTGGGCACGCGCGCCAGGAACCGCGCCTTGCGCGCCTCGAAGTCCACGAAGCCAGGAGCAGCGGGGGCAGCGGGGGGCGCGGGAGGCGGAACGACCGTCAGGTCAATGACCTGGGGTGCGGGAGCGGGCGCCGCGACAGGAGGCTGGTCGTAAACGACCACGACAGGCGCAACCGACAACACAGGCGCACTCGGGGGAGGGGGCGGGGGGCGCGCGGGGAGGAAGTCCTCCGCATAGAACCCGATGTGGTTCTCGTACATCTTGGTGTTGTCGTCCATCCAGTGGACGACACCGCGGAGCTTGGCGATATCCTACCAGGACCACAGTCAGGAGTGCGCTTCTCAACGACAGAAAAGGACAGTGTACTTACGAGAGAGGGAGCGCCATTCACAATGGCCTCGGTGAGGGCCCAGGCCATCGGCCGCAAGACGACCGGCACATCGACACACCCCTCGGCCGAACGGCCGTTGAAGCAGCGCGCACACCGGCCACCACTTCCCACAAGACAACGACCACCATCCTCAGGGTCGGTGTACCGGAGGGCTGCCCGAAGACAGGGCATGCACTGCACTAACCGTTCCTCGGGAGCCACTCCCTTGAGCTTCTTGGGGACTAGGCACACGTCAGACAGGCTCAGAATAGCGAAGAGAACCACACTTACCGCGGGGGGTGCCTTGGCCTCTCGGTGTTCTCTTCTGCTTCTTGCCGCCCTTCTGGGAAGAGCTGGCCTTGCGTTTTTTGGACTCTAGAACACTGTCAGAAACGAACTCCTAAGATAACAGCACACGACATACCCTTCTCGGAAGGCTCAATGTCCGAAACATTCTCATCCTCACCCTCAGACTCCGAGGGGGGGACAGGTGAAAGCTCCTCAGAGCTCTCACCGCCACTATTCACCTCATCATCGCCCTTGTCACGACCGCTGATGAGAGCCTCGAACTCAATAGAGTTCTCGGCGTCTCCATCAGCAGCCTCAACATCCTCCTGGCCAGGGAGGGAGAGCTCGGCAGCCGGGCCCTGGTGGGCGGATGGGAGGTCGCGGGGGGGGGTGACGACCCGGAGGGGCTCGTCAACATTGTCGCCTGTCCAAACTCTTAGTAAACCGCACAATGCGCACATGAGAGGCATCGTAGAAATTGCGCGAAACTTACTGTTGCTTCCGGACATGTTGGATATTTGTATCTGGAATAAAATCAGCAAACGATTCGACGGCGCAGGCGCGCGCGCGCAGCAGACGGGGGCACCTACGGCAACTGCGAGAAGGTTGAAAGGAGGAAGAAAAACAACAGCCAGGCGACGCCGCGAGAATTTGGATATACGCGAGGCGGCCAGGCAGCCTCGCCCTCAGTGATTCACACACCGGAAGCAGCAGAATACGCGCTATTCCGGGTTAGGATTCCATTCACTTCAGACGAAGGGATATATTCACAACAAACGCGGTTCAAAAGACGCGTATCCCTTGCGCTTATTTTTTCCTTTGTTTACATTCGACCAAATCGGGCCTTTGTGAGGGCATTCAGAGGTTCTATCTCGGGCACAATAGCTCCCTAGCGGTAGCAATTGGGGGGTGTGTCACGTAACAGGGATAGTAACCGCATCTCACGAAGTGCCCGTCACGTGCTGAATCACGTGTCTATCTCAGACATCGTGTATATAGACCTTTTCCTTTTGTCTATTTCTACTTTAATATGTTAA